TTTACTGATCTGTTCTTGCACTACCCCCAGCCTGGGTTAGACTTTCTCCCTCTGTGCCCCCATAGCATCCTCTGTTTACTCCATTACAGCACTTAACCACACTGTGGGAATAATTCATCTCTTCCACCCCTCAGAGTATTTCAAGGGACAAAGCCCAAAGCTTCTTTATCTCTTTATTCCCAACAACTGGCACATGACCTGGCATATACTATATTCTCACTCAATTTTTGTCACATTACACTGAACTGTCAGTGAGTTACAGGTGGAAACATGAAAGAGCAACTAGTTAATGCTACGCCAAGAGACTTGAGTTTGGCCGTGAGAGTGTGCTGGGCTTTAGAACCCACACTGTGTGAATGATGACATTTTCTCAGTGGCTTTATTCCAAGACTTCCACTTAACCCTGTTGCATTTGCCTTTTCTTCTAGGCAATGGGGAGCTGAGCAATAAGGAATTTGTTTCCATCATGAAGCAACGGCTGATGAGAGGCCTGGAGAAGCCCAAAGACATGGGCTTCACCCGCCTCATGCAGGCCATGTGGAAATGTGCACAGGAAACTGCCTGGGACTTCACTTTGCCCAAACAGTAACGCAGAACGGCAAGAGTGGGCCACCACCTCTACCCAAGCACCCTAGACCCCCTTGAGCAGAGCCTTGATATAGCCCTTTGTGCTGCTCCTTGTGGAAGTCGTGCCCACTTCCTCCTGGGAATGACCTCAGGATGCTACCAGTTTCTCCTCTCCACCTGTCCCCTGTCCCAGTGTTCTGCTAGGCTCTGATTTTGCCCGATGGTTAACCCCATAGGTTCTCAAAAATGTGAGCAAATCTTAAAAGCTCAGACCTTTGGCACCTTCGACAGCACTATCCATTCAGGCACCTTATAGACAAAGAATGCAGGGAACCATTCACACACCTGTCAACCCTAGGAAACATCCAGTTCTCAAATCGTTTTCACTGAGGATTTATATTAACAAGAACATTCTTTATTTTTCCTCCTGCTGGTGTTTTTAAGCTACAAGTTGGGAAAATCTTTGGCAGGCAAAAGGAAGTCTGTGTTGAATGATAATGAGGATGGCCTGGGCCAGAGGAAGGGTCTGTGTCAGTTACTGGGGCGGCTCTGAGGCCTGCTCCAAGAAAGCAATGCGCTCAGTGGGAACAGAGCAAGATTCAGAATTTAAAGTCGTGGCTTCAAGGCTCTCTACACTCCCTTCCTTTCTTCTCAGACTCCCTAAGACGACTTCACCATGACTCTGCTTAATGAGCAGCAGTGATTGAGTTCAGGTTCCCTGCAAGTGCTATTTCCCATCTGGGAGTGGGCCTCTGAAGCTGAGGCCTGGCTCAGAAACTGCCTGCTCTCTCTTAAACACTTGGAAAATATTACTTTAATTATAACAGTTTGCTATAAACACCCCCAGAGGCTCCTGTTTCCTTTATTTCAGGATCCTCTGGGCCCTTTTCATTTTACATCTCCACTGGGTTTGAGATCCTGCTAGCAACACACCCATTTCTTCCTACGAGAGCTTGGTTCCTTCTGATGAAAGGCAACTTTAGGGACAGACAAAAAGTGAGGTATTTGGAGGTTAGTGGTGGCATTGTCCCAGCCAGCACAGTTTTGGTTAACATGTCATTCTGAGCCAAAGTACACAGTCCTTGATTATCCATGCCCCACGATAAGAAACTAAGATGGGGTGGTGGAATATGTGAGGAATTATCTGGTATGGTGGACCTAAGTTTTAAGAACCATGGCAACCAATGTTGTACAGTGGTCCCAACTCTGCCACTAACTCAGTGTGGTCTTGAGCAAGTCATCTCCCATCTGTTCCCTCATCTGTAAAATGATAGATGGGCTTGACCTAGGTGGGCTCTAAGGTTTCTCCCAGGTCCAAAAGCCTCTGCTTCAGCTCTCCTCCAGAATTCGTATGGCCTCCAGAGCCTCCAGGTAAGCTCCCTGGCATGGCCAACATAATAGAAACACCACACCAAAAACCCAGTGCTTCCCGTGAGGCGGCTGGCTCTGAATGTTGGTAGGGAGTGCTTGACAGCCAGAGAAAAGAGGCCTGGAGCAGCACCTGTGGCTCCACAGAAAGGTACCTACACCAGAATTTCCTCCAGAGCAATATAACAACACCACTTCTAACACCCGTTCTGAAGATAAGATTATCTCTCAAAGGAGGTTGCCACTCTCCTACCTCATCTGTCTTCCACTGTTTCCTCTCTTGGGCTGTCCCTAGTATCCAAGTGTAGGATTTGCCTTGCTCATTGCCCTAGGCCTGAGGCATCAGCAAAATGTGAGCTTTTTTTTTTTGTCTTTTTCCGTGTCCGGCAACGGATCGCAACCCTCAGTGTCGCCCCCGTACCAGACCGGGACCGGCAACGGGATCGCAACCCTCGGTGTTGCTCCCGCGCCGCGCTCAGCCAGTGAGCGGGAACCGGTCTGCATGTGGGATCGGACCCCTCGGCGGGAGCGCCGCCGTACTTCCCAAGCGGCGCACTATAGCAGTGTGCCACCTAGCCGGCCCAAAATGTGAGCTTTTTTTTTTTGTCTTTTTCCGTGTCCGGCAACGGATCGCAACCCTCAGTGTCGCCCCCGTACCAGACCGGGACCGGCAACGGGATCGCAACCCTCGGTGTTGCTCCCGCGCCGCGCTCAGCCAGTGAGCGGGAACCGGTCTGCATGTGGGATTGGAACCCTCGGCGGGAGCGCCACCGTACTTCCCAAGCGGCGCACTATAGCAGTGTGCCACCGGGCCGGCCCAAAATGTGAGCTTTTAAGTCTGTCCCAGAATCCCCAAATCACTCTTTCCCCCAGTCCTCCTTTCTCCAGCCTGAACGAGACGTCCCTTCTATAGTCTTTGTGAGACGTTCATTCCCCGACAAGGTGAGACCTGCCATTGGCCTGGGTTCACTGAAGCTGAAAGCCACAGCATGGCAGGGGAGGGTAAGGGTCTTATCTGCAACATCTTGAAACCCAGGGTCAAGGGCAACTATCATAGGTACATGAAATTCTAATTCTAAAGCTAATTTAAAGATAACTCTTGCCTTTGCCCCTCACACAACACATTCATGAGTAACCTGCTGCTAAACCATTCACAGATGACCTGCTTCTGAGTCAGGGTTTCATGCACAGTAGAGCAGCCCCGTCGCTGTAACCTACTGAGGGGCAGCCCTTGACACCAGGTTTGTAAAAAAAGAAAAACAAGGGGGAAAAAAAAGAAAGCAAAAAAATAACTCTTGGACAAAGTAAGTGTTACTAGCAGTGCCTCAGTAAATTTCCTTTCACACACCCACGGCCGTTCTCTAGTTTTGTTGTTGTTCTCTATTTCTTTAACAAACGAAAACAACTCTTACTTCAATTCTAGACTGTGAGGCTTCAGGGAAGGGAAGAGTTAGAGAGGACCCAAGCCGCTGGGTTTCCTTGACCTTCAACTCAGCATCTAAGAAAACACGCAGGGAGAGTATGGAGAGCATGACGAAGGAGAAGAGGCCTTAAGAATTTGTACAATCTGTAAACATCATTATTTTAGTAGCTTTTAGTGCCCCACCTAGTTTTAGTTCTGGGTGGAGCATACACTCTTCTAGAAACAAATCAGACTCTTAAGACAAAGGTCCAGGCAATGACTGCTACCAGACAAGGAAGATGGAGCCACGTCCCCTGGCTAGGGCACCCTCTGCAAGCCTTAACACAGCCCAAGTAGCTCAGAAAAGGAAGGAGGGAGCAGAGTCTAGTTTGGCTTTTAGGCTCCAGGTGACACCTGCTGACAAGAATGCTCAGTGCAGGGACTCACTGGACTGGAGCCAGACAAGGAGAGGCTGCTTGAGTGCAGCCCAGATTGTCCTGAGAATAGGCCTTCCCAGGGACTTGGGTGACATGGAGCAGGTGGAATGAACAGCCAGAGATGGATCATAACCATGAAGAGAGATACTATGGATATGAAAATAATTGAGAGGAGGAAAAGAGCTATGCTGGTATATTCTCTGTGGCCCCGGGATGGTAATTTTTACTAGCAAATGAGAAGGTATAATTCATTATATTCATTCTACAACTCTTTAGTGACCACCTTTTATGGACCAGGCACTGAGCAAGGTCACGGAATTTGCATTCTAGTGAGGAAAACAGAAAAGAAGCAACAGTTAAGTACAGGCTACTACAAGAGCACTTAGAAAAGCAGAAGGGCGAACTAATCCAGACTCGGGAGTTCAAGGCAGGCTTGCAGAGAAAATGATTTTTTTTTTAAATTAAAAAGTATTAAGCTGGGCCGGCCCGGTGGTGCACTGGAGAGTGCGCCGCTTGGGAGCGCGGCGGCACTCCCACCGAGGGTTCGGATCCCATGTGGAGACCGGTTCCCGCTCACTGGCTGAGCGCGGTGCGGGCGCAACACCAAGGGTTGCGATCCGTTGCTGGTCCCCGGTGCGGTCGCGACACCGAGGGTTGCGATCCCATTACCGGTCAGTAAAAAAAAAAGACAAAAAGGAAAAAAAAAAAAAAGTAAGGTTTGGAACATGAATTTTATTCAGAGCCCTTTGCTTCCTGATTCTCAGTTGAGTTGAGCTAGGAGAGGGTCTAGACAGAGACTATGAGAAGTTATACTCTTATACAGAAGCACACTCATTGGTTCACTAAACAAACACTACATGTTAGGCACCTACTGTATACTAGGCACTGTTCTGGGCACTGTGGATCACAGCTCCCAATGTTTACAGAGTTACACTTTAATGAAAGAAGGCAGCAGGGCTGCTGCGTATGGTCACCCGAGTTGCACATTGCACAACTCTGGGAGAAGGTGTGCCACACAGGAAGACTGTGATGTGAACAGCACTCTTGGCAATTGTGCAACATCGCAGCCCTGGGAGACAGACGTAGAGTCAGGAGAGGGATAGATAACTGCTATGAAGAAAGTAGTATGGGGTACAAAACAGAAATTGGTTAGGAGAATGGGGTCTCCTTCTTTTTCTAAAGAGGTGGTGTTTGAGCTGAGATGAACACACATGTCCTCTTAGTGCGTACGTGCAAATCCTTACGGACCCCATGTGCGTGCACACCTGTGTACATTTTCTTCTTCCTTAATGGCTCCTGAATGAAATGATTTCTCCTCATAATGGCCTACAGTTGCCAAGCTTTTTATAACACATATTTATTATTTAAATAGAAAGAAATAAAAGTATAGATATTTTTTAATGTCAAGGAAGATTTGAAAACATTTGGGGAAGATTTTCGTGGGTTCAGATCCCCATACTGGCCAACCTCCAAAAAAAAAAAAGTACTGAGACCTAGGAGTAGGAGTTCTGTTACCGACAGACCAGACCCAGCTTGCCCTCTCACACTAAACAAATGAAAGTCCAAAAGTTGGTGCAAGGATTAAAAGGTTTATTCAGATTACCGGTACTCAACTAAATGTCTAACCAAACAAAGAGAAAAGAGGAGCAGTGGGGTCGGGTTTATCCTAGTCCCAGTCGGCGGGGTCAACCTGTTCCACTGACAAGGTAATTAATTGTCCGCGCTGATGTTGGCACAAAGAAGAAAAGTACCGACTAGATTTAAGTCAGAGAAACAAAGCTTGGCCAGGAGCCCTCCAGGGTGCACCTATACAGAACAGCAGAAGAGGGCTCAGAAAATCAGAGAAAGGTAGAGGATTTTAGTGGCTTCCGGACTTCCAGTCACTGCGTGGCATAGGAATGAATCCCCACCACTCTCATGGATCCCGCCAGGGGACCCTGCTCAAGCAAGATCTTCACGGTGTGGGACTGGCCTTCCCTCCTCTGCTAGTGACCTGTCAGGGCAAGCCACTGCTGGCCAGAGGAAGCATGCTTCTCACAGGTTGAGAGGAGTTTAAGCTGTAGTTGTCGGGCAGTCACTTTAAAAAGAAAGAAAAGTGGGGGAAAGGAGAGTAGAAGAGAATAAAGCATTTCCATGTCAGAATTTAGGCCATCAAATAGATCCAAGAAAAGGGGAAGAAGTTTAAAAAGATAGTCTATGTCTTGACTCATAATTTTTAATCTCCCCCATCATCACTCCTGCCACTTAAAAAAAAAAAAATCTCAGCCTGGTTCTATCTACTTTAAGTGGCAGGAATACAAGTTTTGCTAAGCATGGCAATGTGATTCTTCTGCTTGGTAATTTTGAGCCCACATTTTTTTGAACTTACCTAATTTGATTCTGGTTACCTTCTTGTTTCCCTCTAGCCTTCCTAGAATGACTCTAGATCTGGAATATCCTAAAGCATTCTTTACTGCACACCTCTGTGTTTTTAGTGAAAGCACTGATAGTGTGGGGATCTACTTCCACTGCTTCCAATGAACCCCTGTCCAGGCTCCCCCTGTGGACTGCATTTCAAGAAAGCTAAATTTGTTTTGATGTACCCTGAAATAGATGGAACCACTGAACATATCATATAATTTAATACAGCAGCTTTC